TTTAACCTTTTAACCCACTTTTTCGGCACACGACCGTCGTTTATCCCTTTTAATGTCATATTATTGTACATCAATACCAACAGTTATTTTTATTAGAAAAAATCTGTTAACAGGGGCTTGTGTTAATTAAAATTTAAAAACAAAACCATCTTCAACACGTTGGCTGTCTTCGATGGTTAAAATTGTATTGTTAACATCAAATTCATGTATTGGATGATAAGTACAACACAGCAAGTATAATAGTATATTCGACAACTACCAAAGATAAAGTTATTCAAATCTTATTTAATTACAGTAAATGAACAATGCAAAACCGAGACATGTACTATTTTCTTTATGAAAACAATTGAAGCAACAGCAGCTATTCGAGATTGAATATAACATTATTGTCAGCATACCCAAATAATTGCACCTTTGATTGTTTACCGTTGAAATTTGCCAAATTGCATTTAATGTGGTTTATCAGAGAGTCGTAACAGCAATTGCGTTTTGACTGTCGTTTTTGGGACGAGACGTTAATAATTTTGTCGAATATTCGAACAATCTGTCGCTCTCGATGGCGACAGATTATGAGGTCAAAGAACAAATACCTACCTACCACTATTATTAATATATTTTAATTTATGGATATCGAAATTAAACTGTAATCCCATTGAACCGGAATCGATTAAACGCAGTGTGGGCACAATGTTAACACACAACTATGATAATAATATGATGTGCACAGCGCGCGCACACGCTCCAAACAACGATTACTGTGTTGGCCCACCCAAAAGCGGAATTGGATTAGGTACACACGTCTAGGACAGCTGCTGCTGCTGCTGTTTTGTTCGCCGTTCACCTATATGTAATATTGTGAGAAAACATTTGCACGTTTTGTTAGCAGTAAAACAACAACGTTGCCGGTGTTTAACTTGAACACGGTTCCGTCACGTGTCTCAAAACGCGCACAAGTCTCCATTCATCATCGACCACGACCAACGGCTACACCTCTAATCCTACTAGGCAATTTCGCAGGTACATAATAATCGCATAAATATAGCGAATTTACCTAAACCGACGGTTTTTGGCAACGAAATTGAATTTAACAATAACAACATACCGACCGTTGCATAATGATACATTATAAATGTTTTAGCGAACCTACAAAAACCGGCTATGACAGCATCCGCAGCCACCTCCGATTCTGTCTCTCTCTCACTTAATAAACAACAACAGCGAGTAATAACGTTGGGCGGTGGTCATTTTCAATTTAAACATCAGCCAGGACGCGGATTCTCCGCAAGAGCGATGGTAAACCGCAAACGCCTAAGCGTGACAGGTGCTTTAACCGTTTTATAATTAGCAAGTTGGCATGTCCAAAACGGACGATTAAAACTTATTATTTTGACCAAAAAATAACTCTTACAAACTATGTTTTTTTTTTTTATAAACTATTTTTAATAAAGCGAACATGAGTGGTTTGCTCGAATGGGAACCCTGAAAATTAATGGGCATAACTGTTTTGCATCAAAACACCATACACAACTACACATGGCCTAGCTGCCATCACAATGCTTCTCCACGTCTCTCTCTTACTTCATATCCAATTAAGCTTCTTCCTGGACCTTAACAAGTTCCTTCAGCTATCAAGCCATCATGCATAACCTAGCAACTCAACTTTTTTACTTCTAATGTACGAGAGAATGATATTTTGCCATCCATAAAGTCTCTGCATTTCGGTGTTGTGTCTTCTTTCGTACCATTTCGTTTCCAGCATATAATAAATGAGGCCATAAATTTTCATCAATATTTTACTTTCAAATATGATTACACTATGATAGGTTCCTTTAGCAGTTGCCAAGTTCCACAACAATATGTTAGAATTTTTTTTTTTAACTACCGAAGAATAAACAGAAGGGACTCTTAGAATTTATCAAAAACGTTTAGACATATTGAGAAATAGACAGTGATGCCGGAACGCAGATATTTATTTTTTAATTTTCTGTGATTCATGGCTACACTGTTCAATTATTAAAAATGTCCTACGCCGACAACAATGGCATCGCCATTTCCGCGTTTTTGAGTGAACAGTGTAGCCGGAATAAACGAAAAATGAGGATTTCCCTACACCTACCAGCCCTGTCCATTTCTCAAGATGTAGGGACATGATTTTATCTCTTCCCACAAGAGTTCATGTAAAAATTATATAGTTTCTCTGCTGTTTGTGCTGTGATACTGATATGATCACGTTTTTTTGCGTTTGCTTCGGTTACCCCGTGAGTGAACAAATTCACCAGTGCCCGTCGTACAATGATGTGGTGCGTACGACTGCCGTCAAGATGCCAGATGCTAAATTTATAACGGGTCTGTAGGTGTACAGTGTGCTGCATGGTGACAGCGGGCAGGGAGTCGCGGGGTCGGAGAGATGGAAGGCAACCGCGCGCACGACTCTGTATAGTTTGACATTCAAGTATATCACTCGGATGTTGTTGTGTGTATAATTTTATTTTTAAAAAGTTTGTCCCGACCTTACCGGGTTGAGAGGCGCTAGGACCTGACGCCGATGCCAATATTATGCGATGCCGGTTTGTAAAACGCTAACGAAAAGCAATTTTCTATTTAGGATACAGTGGATTTTGTGTTGTTTTAAAATAAAATATTACACACAACGAGATCGGTCTACCCACTCCCGGCCCTTTTGACAAGTGTCTTCCCGCAATGTAGCCGCAAAAAAAGAAATTGCCCTTCGAACAACCGGCTGTTTCCAAAGCGGAGAATAAAACACAAAATTCTCGCTTCTGGCCGGTTAAGGAACAAGCACCGTCGAATCGTCTAAGCTGGCCAACAAAGGTTATCTAAGTATATCAATAGTTACAGAAGTCAGTTTACAGAAACTCGTCCAATTTATCATTAAATGTTTGCAATTCATCAACGGCTGTGTGTGATTAAAAATAATAATTGTCCTAAACGGACGACTCAAATTTGACAAATATCACCCTCATTTTAAAGCCATGAAAAATCGTTACCGCACATCATTTACAAGCGCCCAACGTTGTCGATTCCGTAAATTGTTTTTGTACATCTTAATTTTTAAGTAAAACATATATCTTTGCGCCTTGCGATTGTAATAATGCGATTTCTTGGAAATCCGTTTCATTGTATAACGCGAAAAATAATGGAATTGTGGACCTTGCAATGTTCACAGGAACGATTAGGCTAAACCTTTGTGACCTATTCTATGGAATTCAGGTCACACAGGTTTACCTCAGTCGGCCTTCCGCATTTGTGTGGTGTATCTTATTGGCAATATTTCTTATACACCAAATTATATATCCTAAACCGGTGACTACACACAGTCGAAACTACTGTTGTATAATATTGTTCTGGATAAATCCTTAAAGCCCCCGGTTTGTATTTTATGGATCGCCCGAGGGATTATGGCGTAACGGCCGGGCGAATAGAATCAATCACTCCGAGCGGGGAAGCACAAAAACGCCTTGTCTACACGGTTAAGCCGAATGTAAAAACAGGATAAGTATTATAAAGTGAGTTTTACAGAAGACCGGAAACCGAATTTTGCAATCGTAATGGAAAAAAAAAACAATTTATTATGTCCTTAAAAGGCGAATCACATGAGCGGATACCGTCAAGTTTTAAACAAATCAATAATATAATAATATTACAGTTTACATACCGATCGGTACCAGTATTTATTATAATTACAGTAAGTTGTAAATAGTACACTTTACATCGACAAGTACAATTAGTGAAACCAATCAAATTACAATTATTTTAAGCTGGTAAATTGTATGCTTGTTAAAGTAAGTGTTATTAATTGAATTCCAAGTTGAATTAAATTGACAGTTAACTTAGTTAAATTATAGCCTAGTGAATCAATTCGTTATTTAAAAAAAAAAATTATATTTTCAACCCTTAAATTTGTCGTTGTTTTAAAACTATAGTTACAATATTTGAAACTATATTATATAGTATACATTTTTCTTTTGATAGAAAAATGAATTAGTTTAAGCCAGATTCTAAGAAATCGAGGTTATAAGTTAAAAGTAACTCGAACATATTTTAATCTGTATCTAATTTTTAACTGAAGACTACAACAAGTGCACGCCTTTTTAAATTACACTGTTGGCGAGCAAATTCTAATCAATTTCACCAAATTGGCGACAAAAAAAAAATACTAAACGAGTAATAATAAATTGAAATTATTATAAAAAATATGCGCTAGTTTTATTATACTATTTGTACAGATGCGAATATTGTTAACGGTCGCACGAAGAACATATTGGCTTTTCGATAGAGGTCGTGTTTTTTTTTTTTTAAGTACAGAGAAAAGCTTTGATAATATTTTGTTGAAAACGTTGGCGGTCTTTAATGCACAACACATACCTACATAATATGTTAAACGTCAAGAATACCACCGTAGGCAACACTGGCATTATCTGTGTATTGTTTCTATTATTGAAATGTTGTAAAAAAAAAAAAAAAAAGTGCATTCAAGACTAAAAACGAAGAATGCAGCTATGCTCGGTAGAAACGTACCTAGGTACGTAATATATAGGTAAGTATATTACTATTATAACAACAACAATAACAATTATTATTATTGTGATGCGGTTGCCCTATGGGTAACCCGGCACAAGCTTGTTACGGAAAGCTTAATCAACGATAATATTATTATTATATTTATGTTAAGCACACTTTTCATTTTTTTTTCTCACATGATGTCATGCCAACAAATAATATAAGAAGCACACATGCAAAAAAAAAAAAAAAACGTTACAGAAGGTGTAATAATATATATTATTATAACCGTCTTCGAGCGTGTACGGCTCGGGTCGGACGACAAAAGTTTGACAATTTTTTTTATCGTACGGATTAGTAAAAACGGAAAACAACCAAAACAAAAAAAAAACCATATAGTGTAATATTATATTATATTATTATATATATAGGTATATATATATATGTATAACGAGTGTAGATTTCCAAAGCATACATACGCACACCTGCAGGTTTCTGTCGTCATTGTCGAATGTCTGTAGAATTATATCTTCGGCCGAGACAGGTATACCCACCCCGACCTGAAAACGGGCAAGCGTGTCAAGAAAAAAAAAAAAAGCCGTACCACCAAAAGTATATATATATATATATATTATGATCTTAATAATATAAAACTTTAGATAGTAATTATTTTTTTATACATTTAGTTTTCAACGATAATGTCCCCCGAGAACCATACTTTATTAATAGGACCGCGGCGCACGTTTTTCTACGGTTTGTGTCGTATTTTAGTTATTGTTATATTATAGAATAATAATTATATACATATAGATTTATATATATATTTATTATTATCATCGAGATCATCGTCATCTGGACAGCACGTGAGATTCGGTCGGCTAGAGAGAGATACGGTGACACCCGCCGCGTTCGCAGTGTCTACACGTATAGAGTGTGTCTCAGCATCTCGGCTGTTCCTTAAGTAGACCGCCTTTCGTTAGGTTAGGTTAGTCCCTTTGTGAAGACAACCGGCAACAGCTTCGGTTGCCTAGTTGCTCAGTCTCCTTAGTATCCAGGCTAGATTAATTAACAGCTGTTTCTTTAGAGTATCCCCGTGTGAGTGGAGGGCCTAAGAGGACGTCTGATCTGAGATTATTTTCAACGGTTACACAAACATGTTTACACAAAACAGAATACACAGTTACCTTTTCCAGTGATTTTAGAGACAAAAAAAAAAGTAATTACAATAAAGTCTTATTGTCTCTTCCGACGGAGGACAATTATTCGATTTTCGAGGTAATCAATTTTCAAAATGTCAAATCACAAATAAAGTTACAACGATTTTAAAAAGTTAGCAAAATCAAAATAACATGTATTTTTGCTCTTGACCTATGCGCGTTGTAGATAACACAAAACGGCTTTTGAGGTTTCTTCGGAGATGAGTTGTCTTCTATCTTTTTTATCACAGGCATTTCATTTCAAAAATAATTTTGAAAAAAACCTTTTCCTGTTTTGCGCAAACACGTTTGGACGATACAAATTTGTTTCAATCGCCGTCGAGGATGCAAAAACCAGTCCTAATTATATTAATAATTAACGTGATTATACGTGATGGGTTAACGTTTAAATTGAGATTTGAACTCTCGTCAATAACTATTCTTGGAAACACATCGAAAAAGATTAAAAAGCCAGTGGTCAATTAACTCTATCAAAGTTCTCCACTGGGGGGAGGCCTCTTCACTCTGTCAATCTGCCCTTTGTAATAATATATTACACGCTTATTGTTCTACAAATTGTAACGGAATGCATGAATAAAAATTAAGGTTTCGCGAATATTCACCCATACCCAAACTGCTTAACAAATGGGGGGGTTTCGACGTCCTCTTAAGAAACATAGGATCCTGGTACCCGTCAAAATCGTGACACGCGAAACGCCACGGGAATTTCAGAATGACCCCCGGCCGTAAGACACGTGTCCACGTGAAAGTCGCCGTTTCCATGTGACCCCCGTGGGGACGGGGAATCGTCGGGTCGGTGGGGAGGGTTCGTCTGAAGAAAATTTTTGGTGGTGGCCAAAGACTGCTCCGTGCACTTACCGTCGACTTGAGCGGCACTCCGGCGGCGTCTCCGGCGGCGGCGAAATGACGCGACATAGCGGTGTGTCGGCCTGGGGCTGCTGCCTTGTCCGTGCTGTGCTGCAGTGCAGTGACCGTGGCTGCTGGCGTGTTTGGGTGCCGTGGCTACGGGTCGTGTCCAGGGTCCGGGTGCGTCGGGTTCGAAATTATATTACCAATACTTATTGTGTAGAGTGAAAAAACAAAAAAAAAAAAACGTTCCCTGACTTTTTTTAGCGACAAACGTTTTTCCTTCCACCGTGGTCACGCGGGGGAGGCGCCGAGTACGACGTCGTTGTATTTATTTTTTATTTGTATACAATAAGAAAATAATAATTTTGTGTACGAATATATTTTAAATAATAAACGGTTAACGACGGCGGTGGCTGGTGACTTTATATTTTGCAGTGAGCGCGTTTGCGGGCGGCATGCACGGCGCTGGCGAGATGTGTGACAGCCGACTGAGAGAGGGACGTGGTGCGTCGTGCAGAACGGTCCGCTGTGAACTGCCGCCGCCGCGATTTCGCCGCGTCCGCGCGTTCGGCCGCAGACCCGGCCACCGCCACCGCTACCGCCACCGCCACCACACCGGCCGAGCGCGCGGTGGTCCACCGCGGCCGGCCACGCCTCGTTTCTGCGTCGCGTCGGAGGGGCTGTGCTGAAAAAAAAAAAATTTCAATCAAAAATTCAATCAAAAAAAGGAAAATTAAAAAATCACGGTCCCAAAGGCAGAGTTGTATAGAAGAAATTCTTATTCAAATAAAACACGTTATTCGAATGAAACATTCTATTTCAGTCTTCCTACGTTTACTGGTTTTATATATTTTCCAAATGTAAAATATATTAAATTTATACGAAATAATATTTTCAAATATAATTAGAATTTTTTTTTTATTCGAATTATAAAATTTTTAAATTATTGGAATAATTATTTTTGAAATTATTCGAATAAATTTTCTCTAAGTAATGAGTTATCTAGATGATTATTTAAAAACCATTTTATTCGAAAGATTTTTTTTGAATTTATTCTAATAATCACCACCAAATTTTTAACACTATTGTAAAAATAAAATGTTTTATGCTATTTTTATTTCATATTATATATAACAGGATAAGAGCTTTGCAAATTGTTATTCCAATAAAACATTGTCTTCCAATATACCAATAGCATATTATAATTATTTAAATAAAGCACTTACAAAATATTTAAAAAATATGTTTTAAAATATGTTTGAATAATTTTTTATTCTGATAATTAAATTTTAAATTATTCGAACAGTTGAATTTGAAATTATTCGAATAAAATATTATACAAATAATTATATTTGAAATTATTTGAATAACTTTTACTTGAATAATGTGTTATCTAGATGATTGTTTAGAAAATGTTTTATTTGGATAATACACCACTCTGCCCACAGGACACAGTGATGTGTATTTAGGTTTTTTTAAAGGATTAATTTCACTGGAATCGAGGTACTCGAGGATTAAAAAATAAAACCAGCTAAGTTAAAATATAATACGACTAATAAATTTACAGAATGATAGTATATGTACTATATGTTTATAAATATATATAAGAGCATAATGGTGTTCGGCAGGAAAAAAATCCGGATACAAAAATTATTTTGTTTAAACAATTTGCGTGCAAACAAAATCCCACCTTTTTTTACAAGGTCATCCAAATTGTATGTTACAGTAATTGTTTTTGCGAAAAAAGATATCAACTATAATAATTTTTGTATGGTCTAACATTTTTTTGTCATCAAGTTAAAAATATTATTTCAAATGTTAGAACTAAATTTAGTTTTTAGATAACTTAGCTCACCTAAATATAATTAAAAGTAACTTTACTTAAACTTATTATGCGTTAATGGCAACCTTTTTACACATTGTTTTTGTTTGTTTATGGTGATGTAATTAAAAATTGAAATTCATTGTGTAGAACAGGAACGACTTAGCCTTCCTATCTACAAATAAAAAAATAATTGAAATCGGAATCTTTCTTGCCATACAATTTGGATTTCTTCTATTTTGCCATTTAAATTCTGGCCAGTTATGCAAAAATGTTTACTACATACACAATATATTGTATTAAATATTATTCCATTACAATTTGTATTGATTTATGCAATGGCGAATACTCGACATTGTCTGCCTTTAAATGTTGACAAATGTAAATCATTACTTTTAATCGGTTTCTACAATAGTTTATCTATAGCAGTTATAGAATTTGGGATAATATCTACTTAGGCCTAGTAATTCAATTAGACTGAGAAGGCCGGAGGGAAATGTACCACAAACATTTGTCATGATTGTTTAATTTTGGGTCTTTAATTGGTAAATTCCCTTTTCAAATTTAATCACCACCGGTTAAGGGTTGGACAGCCGTTAGTCACTTCACCTTACCTAGTCCGAATTTGTTTATTTAAAGGCAATTACAATTGGAATAAGCATCGTCTCTTTTCCTCTGCTACGAATATGGCTCACATTACACACATTGATCTAACTTCGTCCTTTCTGAAATACCTTCTTAATTTTCTCCTTCATTTTCTCACAGAAGTAATGACATACTTCACTCTTCTCGATTTCCTCGATTTTATAAATTTAATGTTCATCCCAGACGACACTGGCATATTCCAGAATGGAACGAACAAGGGGCACAGTAAACAGAGTTAAATGAAGATAAGAATGTCGAACATCTGTGAAGTGAATTGTCACCATTTGTGTACCGCAAAAGGTTTGCAACACGTGTCTTCGCTGGGTTATGTACAAAGTAACTACCTAGTAGACTTGACAGGTAAATTATATGCACGTTAAGTGTAACTAACCGAGACCGGATCAGGGAAATGATACTTGCAGAGCGGAAGAAGCCTAAGGATTCACCTCACGTGACCAACCGAGCAAGGATTGATTTTATGCGCAATGACATATTTGTATCTTTAAGCAACTGATAACACAAGATTAACAAGCGGTTAGGATGGCACTTTTCGAATACTGGAGAAAGATGGAAAATTGGGATATTCCTTTTGGGCGAAGAGGTGTAGCACCTTCTGTTAACTCTAGTGCTGCGTTAAGTTGTTGACAAAATAGTACAAATATTCTGATAATCCAATATTTATATCATTAACGATGTACAATACATAATGTTATTATTATATTATGGTCGGTGATCACTATAGTGTTATTGTTCTACCGCATAATCTTATCGAAGCTCGTGACGGGTCAGAAATCAAAACGGATTTCCATATGCACTTGTATGAGATAGTTTATGAACCCGACCCATGTGTGTTAACAAACACTGAACGATAACAAAATTTACACACCTATTAGCGCACAATAAGTTACCGGTTCCGGTAACCTTGAGTAGAGAGTAAAGTATAGACAGCATAAAGTATTTTAACTTCCACGTTCATAATACGATTTTGGCGCGCTCGGTATGTGTGTCTCGCCATTGATTTAAAAATCAATGCTTTTGCATACACCGCCAATCTATCCTTAGAAAAATATTATTTACTTGAACAAATGAACTACTTGTGTTGGTTTCACTAATGGTATTGTGTTTTTTAAAACATTCCTTACGGCCTCCTGTGCTATCCTGAACCTTCTAGCGCACAACACATCTGCTGTTGCCTTTCTCTACCTCGTTCGACCACACTCGATTCACACATCTTTCGACTTCTCCTTTATTTTGTCGAATGGTTGGTCCCACAAAATACTTGTCTTGCTCAGGAAGCATATCAAGACCTACTTAAACCTACTTATTCCGCAAGCCGTTAGTGTCCAACGCGTTTTCCCGTTGTCCTAACTTGACTTTTAACACTGCAACTTGACCTAACCTAAATAATTATATCACAGTCTTACGTGGGCAATTTTCACCTCCCATCCCACCCTCCCGTTACGGCTCTAACCGTATCCCGTCTCTTACATTCTATCCGGAAGGGTGTGTGAATTATGTAAAACATGTACATATAGAAACGTAGGATTCTATTGTTAGACTAAGTCAAACGCACTCGGTTCTCGTGTCAAAGTCACGGTCGTTTCAACAACGTGCAAGTGCGCGTAACCTATTAAATAAAACAGTTTTCCGAAAATCCAATAAACACACACTAAAACGTACAATAAAATATTATGTCGGTTGGTATACAATCAAAACGCGAACCGAGTTCAAAGGGCCATTACCCAAATACGTCAGTACAAGACCGTCGATAGAATCGCATTATAAATATTTCAATAGACACTCGTGTTTGTCAGCCAACTTGATGTATTGCTGTCACTTGTCACACTGTCGTGTTCCATTTTTAGCTGGCACTTCGCTTAATACGTTTTATTTTTAGCTTCCACGCGGATCTGTTGGTTTTACATTGATGTATAAATTATTACACAATGTGATGAACTTGTAGTTGTTCGCAGCATACAAAAATCAAAGCATTAAATTTATACGGTTGAAAGGGAACAAATAATTGTTGTAACGACTCAAGCAGGTAAAAGTAAACAGTCACTATATATGGTAACCAACCGAGATGGAAAGGATTATTAATCCAGGTTCAAAGGATTAACTGTTATTCCAGTAGGTCAATCCGAAAAAACTGGAATATCGATTAAAGCAATCTCAGTATTCACGCTTAAGAATAAGAAACAACAAGCTAATTGATCATTTTCAAACGAACGAGAAAATCATTCATAATATTGTAACAACCTGTGAATGTATTTTTTTTTTTTAAATTAATCAATTTTAAAAACAAATACTGACTTCCAATTTTCTTCAACACATTTATGACTACTCGATGGTTGGTCATCCAAAAAGAGAATTAAAATTAATCCTGAAAAATCAGTATACGTCTCTTTCACGTTAAAAAAACCAATCCACCCCCCCCCCCTCCTTCAATTCCAAGAAATACCTATCCCGATATATTCAAAACTAGCTTTATGTACTAAAACCATAATATACAAATCCCCATTAAGGCCTATTGGGGCCAATGCAATCTGCAAACCATCCCAACTTTGAACCTTACACGCCTACGAGATCTATTAATCCAACAGTTAACCAATTAAGCTAATTAAATTTAAGTTAGAAAAAAATCCCGTCGGGTTCTTCCGTTTTATTTTTCTGTACATATATAATATTAATGTTATTATTTTCTCATTATACCTTAGAGCATAGATTGTAAATATTTTTTAAATAAATATAAATTAACGAAAAACATAGAAACAGTATACGTATTATAATATATTATCACAATTAGGGTTCTGAAATTTCATGACATTTTTTATTTTTAAAACATCTCACAATAGTTGCATGAAATATTCATTTGGGTGGAAGATAAAAAATCTGTTATCCATAACGTTGGTTTACTGGAATAAATGTAATTTAATTTTTTATTAATCCCGGATTAACAAACCATGAACAACCCATTTTTGTCCGTCCCTGGCTACAAAGTTACAAGACACTGTAAATATTTTGCTATTTACCACTTGTGACTAAGTTAACGGCTCCAATAG